AGGACTTTTCCAGCTGCTTTCCAGCTGCTTTCCAACAGCTTTCCAGCAGCTTTTCAGCAGTTTTCCAGCAGCTTTCCAGGACGTTTCCAGCTGCTTTCCAGCAGTTTTCCAGCTGCTTTCCAGCAGTTTTCCAGGACTTTTCCAGCTGCTTTCCAGCTGCTTTCCAACAGCTTTCCAGCAGCTTTTCAGCAGTTTTCCAGCAGTTTTCCAGCAGTTTTCCAGCAGCTTTCCAGGACGTTTCCAGCTGCTTTCCAGCAGTTTTCCAGCTGCTTTCCAGCAGTTTTCCAGGACTTTTCCAGCTGCTTTCCAACTGCTTTCCAGCTGCTTTCCAACAGCTTTCCAGCAGTTTTCCAGCAGCTTTCCAGCAGCTTTCCAGCAGCTTTCCAGCTGCTTTTTCAGCAGCTTTCCAGCAGTTTTCCAGCAGCTTTCCAAGACTTTTCCAGCTGCTTTCCAGCAGTTTTCCAGCTGCTTTCCAGCAGTTTTCCAGGACTTTTCCAGCTGCTTTCCAACTGCTTTCCAGCTGCTTTCCAACAGCTTTCCAGCAGCTTTCCAGCAGTTTTCCAGCAGCTTTCCAGCAGCTTTCCAGCTGCTTTTTAAGCAGCTTTCCAGCAGTTTTCCAGCAGCTATCCAGGACTTTTCAAGCAGCTTTCCAGCAGCTTTCTAACAGCTTTAGAGCAGTTTTCCAGCAGCTTTCCAGCAGTTTTCCAGCAGCTTTCCAGGACCTTCCAGCTGCTTTCCAGCAGTTTTCCAGCTGCTTTCCAGCAGTTTTCCAGGACTTTTCCAGCTGCTTTCCAACTACTTTCCAGCAGTTTTCCAGGACTTTTCCAGCTGCTTTCCAACTGCTTTCCAGCAGTTTTCCAGCAGCTTTCCAGCAACTTTTCAGCAGCTTTCCAGCTGCTTTCCAGCAGCTTTCCAAGACTTTTCCAGCAGCTTTCCAGCAACTTTCCAAGAGTTTTCCAGCAGCTTTCCAGCAGCTTTCAAGCAGCTTTCCAGCTGCTTTTCCAGCAACTTTCCAGCAGTTTTCCAGCAGCTTTCCAGCAGCTTACCAGGACTTTTCCAGCAGCTTTCCAGCAGCTTTCCAGCAGCTTTCCAGCAGCTTACCAGGACTTTTCCAGCAGCTTTCCAGCAGCTTTCCAGCAGCTTTCCAGCTGCTTTTTCAGCAGCTTTCCAGCAGCTATCCAGGACTTTTCAAGCAGCTTTCCAGCAGCTTTCCAGCAGCTATCCAGGACTTTTCAAGCAGCTTACCAGCAGCTTTCTAACAGCTTTCCAGCAGTTTTCCAGCAGCTTTCCAGCAGTTTTCCAGCAGCTTTCCAGCAGCTTTCCAGCAGCTTTCCAGCAGCTTTCCAGCATCTATTCATCTTGTTAAGTTTGGAAGTTTTGCTGCAGGGCAGGAAAGGATAAAGTCTGTTTTTCAGACTAAATGTTAAAGCAGATGGAAACACGTCACAATGGCCTCTTCGTTAATGGATAGATCACATGACCCAGTCTGGCCCAGAGAACTGGTCCACCACCAGTATAACTGGGATCAGACTGAAATGCAGTGAAGAGTCTCTTTATAAAGCCACTCTGATGCATGAGCAAACATTAAATCCTAACCAGGCAGCTGTTTGGGTCAATGTGAAGCGGCGCTGATGTAAAAGCAGCAAAGAGCAGAACTTTAATTGGAGCGGTTCTGAAGCAGGTCCTGCTGGGAGGTCCATTTTAGGCGGGCGGTGTCCTTCAGCCACTTCTTTATCCCAATAATCTGCAGCGTTTTAATGATTGTGAAGCTTTCAGTCGCGCTGCTCCTGCAGTGAAAATGTCAAGCACCCCCCCTCCACCTCCTCCTGACCTCCTCGCCACCATGGCAACCAGACCACCGTCTATGGGAGCTCTTCTAACTGCCTTCCCTGTGAATTTGCTTCAGTGACAAAAAGCTCGGTGCTATTTGTAGTTTCCCAGCAGGACTAACCTGGAGCAGCCATGTCTAATGAAACCGCTTGTTACATCTGACACGGCGTGCTGCAGGAAATTACAGGTTCCAGCTGCGTCCATGATTGATGCTGACAGCCGTAGAGTCCTAAATACAGCGGGAACCTGATATCCAGACATGACGAGGACTCGGATCAGAATCAATTAAGACGGGGAGTAATGAGGGCTGAGCTGACAATCCTCCTAAAGCAGGAAGTGATAATAAAGAGGCTGATCACGCATCAGCAGTCGGCTCATAACGCTTTAACAGCTGCAGAACGGCCTCGATGACACGACCAGCCGCACCAAAAGCTTCCTGGCCTTCCAGGAACTCAGAGGCTCCGATGGTTCGGCTTCATCTTTAAGCTGCTGATGAAGATGAGGAAGTAAAGCATTTTGGGATTAGTGGCGACAGCCTTGGACCTGGTCTCCCCATCGTCTCTGTGTGCAGCAGGTAAACCCGCCGTTATAAAACACCAATTATTCTCCAATAATCCTCAGTTTCTAATAATCAATACTGCTCTCTGCCATTTAGGAAGTGGGACGTTAACGCTGATATTTATTTATTCACTGGATATCCGACTGGCAGAAAACCTGAAGTCACTTGCTGCCATCTTGGTACTCCCTAAACTCACTGAGTCGCTCCATAAACGTGCCGACATGAGCAGCATTTGGCTGTAACAACAAGCAGTTTTCTGCTGTTGGAAAACGTTTTACAGGTTTTATATCTATATATATATATCTATATATATATAGATATCTATATATATATATATATATATATATATATATATATATATATAGAGATAGATATGTAAACATATAGATATATTGGCGACTGGTTTCTTTACTCCGCCCTGTACTACCAACAGCCTATCAGCAATTCATTGAATAGAGATCCGTCCTGCTCATGCTCCATCAGCTTTTGTTAAAAAGACCTAAAAAACCCTTTTTTTTCTCCAAAAACAGTAAACGTACTAAACTATAATGTGTCAAACGTTAAAAATGTATTTCCTGAGAAAATAAATACATTTAAATCAGTTTTATCCTCTGTTCCTGATCTGTACAGGAAATGGGATGCTACGCTACTTCCTGGAGCTAACTTTATCAGCTGTAGATTTAAACATAAATCTAGTCTTTTTGAGTTTTCGGTTTTCTTTTCATCTTAACATTATGATATTTATTGCGTAATCTAAAGAAAGAAACAACTAGAATGCAGATAAACGTATTAATCAGATTTACATTTCCTGATCGTGACCCATGATGACGTCAGAGAAGAAGTTTAATGCAGAAAATGGAAAAAACATCAAAATGTCTCAGAAAAAGTCATAAAAATTGTTTTAAAGATGTGTATTAGCATTCTATAGAGAGTTAAGGATAGAAATAAGTCATTTAAGAACCATGACAACATTATTTATGGAATTTTTTTTTTTATATTTCAGGACGGATCGTGCTACCGCGACGGATCAGGTAGTGGCCATCATTGGACATCTGCTGATTCTTCTATTTTTTCTGTCTTTCTGCCTCTTATGTTCATTACTGCCCCTCTGTGGTTTTTGTGGGTACTGCACCTACATCTGCAGTGCCGCTTTATTTCAGCCTTCATCTGAGGTCATCTCAGCGGTTAGAGCTGGAACAAACAGAACCACACTAGATCTAGATCAGCTGAATAGATCAACTAAAAACTGGGCAGTTTGGTGAAGTAAGTGAAAAACTGTTGATGGAAATGTTTATATAAAATGTTCTCCTCAGAATCAAACTGTAAAAGTCAGAGATGTTTTCCACAGTGACGCAGCTGTGGGTCCGTTTGGACCCAGCGAGCATTAGAGGTTCTGTTTGGACCCAGCGAGCATTAGAGGTTCTGTTTGGACCCAGCGAGCATTAGAGGTTCTGTTTGGACCCAGCGAGCATTAGAGGTTCTGTTAAACCGTCAGACGGTTCAGGAGGATGACTCCTCCCATCGGCGAGTTTAATCTGGATCTGATTCTATCTGAAAACAAAAGCTGCTTTTTATCATCTCTGCTGACATCAAGTCTTTGTGAAGCCTCGTCCTCTGAGGCCCGGATGATCTGAGGCGTCTTCCTGAGGACGCCATTTCCTCAGCCTCTTATCTCTAACGCTGCCTCTCAGGTGTCTTTTGTCGTCCGCCTGTTTCCTGATAACGACGCCGCGGTGAAGCTGCTGTTCTGTTGTGTTTAAGTTGATCAGCGCAGCAGCGAGCGAACTCGGCCCGTTCCCGCTCTGAATGTCAATGTATTCCAGCGGGCCTCGGGGAGCCGCCGCCGTAACGCCGCTCGCGCCTAATTGGGTGACAAATCCAGCAAACATGATTGTTTACATCCTGAAAGGTGGGAGTGTGACATTTTGAGTCCAGCGGCCGTGTTGTTGCCGCGGAGAGCGAGGCGCTTTTATGACGTCTCTTTACTAAACCAGAGTTAAAGCCTCGTTAAAAATAATTGCTGAAGTTTTTGTTGCTGTTTCCCTGAAAGCTGCTGCGTGTCGCAACTTTCAACCAGAAAAAGCAGAATTTCTCCTTCATTCAGTGAAACTTTGCTGCTTCTGCTCTTTTTATTTCTAGTTTTAGTCCATCAGTAGGACTCGGCGCGGTTCAGCTGTGACTCGGTTCTCTGATAAGAGCGCCTCATCGCCGATCTACAGCGAGCTTTAGAATTCCCAGATATCTGCACCTGTTCACAACATGAACTTCAGCTGATTGACAATAAATGGCATCAGAGCGACCTGCGATGAAGCACAGACCGGGAAGGATGTCGTCTTCGCCCAACATTCCACAAACAACGAAATATCACTAATATAAACAAACATGAGCTCCTGAATGTTATGGGCGCCGCCATTTTTGTTTGCATAATTCCTGCAGGGTTGCACCTGTCTAGACATCAGAGTGGGGACCATTGAGGACCAGTTTTTGCAAAGTGAGGACATTTTACTGGTCCTCACAAGCTATTTTGCAAATGGTTAGTTTTAGGGTCAGGGTCAGGGTCAGGGTTAGTTTTAGGGTCAGGGTCAGGGTCAGGGTTAGTTTTAGGGTCAGGGTCAGGGTCAGGGTCAGGGTCAGGGTCAGGGTCAGGGTCAGGGTGAGCTGGTTCCCCAGAAAGGTCACAGGTCAGCTTCCTCAGCTGCAGTAAGTTGTGACAGTAGAAGAAGGCAGTGAATCATGGCAGCAGCAGAAGGAGGAAGAAGTTCAGAACCATCTGAGCTCAAACCCTCCCAGCAGTTTCTGGAAGCAGCTGGAAGGTCAGTCTGAGAGACCTACCTGCTTCATATGTGGTGGCGTGTGCGGTCATACTCCAGGTGCTGGACCTCCGACCTTTGGTTACCATGACGGCAAACTCATACATGGTGTTGGGTTTGAGTCCGGTGACGGTGTGGCTCAGAGCGGTGGTGTCTGCAGACTGAGGACACAGAGAACAGCAGGTCTTTATTTCTGCTACCTAATGGGACCTAAAGCTGCCGTTAAATTTAAAGAACCAGAAGAACTGATATTGAAGAATTAATTTGAATTTAGAAAACTTCCTGGA